ATGTTGTTCCAGTAATCACGCGTCTCTTGCACTCAGTCACAGTCTGCAGTCAAACAAAGAAAATGGAACCAAATTAGTCAGAATTCCACTTTAACAAACCAAGACCGAGACGAATAAAGCTGACCACATATTCCTTCCATGTGATCATCTTCTCTCTTACAAGCAATGCTCAGATTTACGTGATATTAGTCTCACAACATGCACAAAGGCCAACAAGGACAAACTACGCAATGCTGCTGGAGTTAAATTCAGGGCTGTATGCTTTTCTAATTGAAGCTTCAAAGAGCTGGTTCCTGGAATTACATCAGCGCTCGGTTCAAACAGGGTTACTTGTCCTCACAGTTCACTGGATCACAGATCTGCTCGCCTCAGATTCTCTCCTTCACTACATTTTTCCCAAACGAATTTTCTGCTACAGTAAATATTGCTTCCTTTGCAGTAACAAAATTCTTGTCTTTGAGGGTGATTGGCAGTGTGAGACTTTGTCTAAGTCTGTCGTTTGGTGGCTGCCTAATAACCACATGAGAGGCGTCCTCTTGATACTTCAAAAGCCTTTGTTTACCACGGAGGAGGAAAGACTCCCCGGTCCAAAGCAAATACGTTGCTGCTGTGAAGATAAAGGACCAGGTATAGGGCAGAGCCCGTCGCTTATTAATATTACAACTGCTCGCTCTGATCTCACTTTGAAAACAGGCATGAAAAGGGCGAGATAGAAAATGAGATAGGACTGTAATGAGAAAAAAAGAACCCAGTGAGAACATTTCAATTTCTGGCTTTGTTTGGTTCATAAGCAGCCAGGGACAGAAAAAACAAACAGTGGTGAAGGATTACCTCACCATAGTGCATTGTTAACAGAGTGGCCCGGTTCTAAGACACTCCCACCTCTGGTCGTATCGTCATCACCTGATACTGATCCACTCGTTCTCCCCTCCCCTGCCTCTCATGATGCTTTATAATACCTTCTCACAATCTCTCACCAAACAAATTCCTTTATACCTCCACCCCCACCTCAGACAATCGAAATGCGATTTTAATTGGATTGTCAGCTCTGACTTCCGTCCCTTTTTATTCATACTTATCATGAGCGATCAGCTGAGCGATCAGCTGAGTAGTCAGCAGCTCACAGCAGCATGGTTGGAAAGTCCTTTTTCTGTTGTTCAGTAAACAGCTTTGCTTGTGAGGACCCTCCGGTATTCTGTGCTCAGTGAAAACCGTGCAGAATAAGGAGCTGGGGTAGCTTGCCAACAACTATTTTACAGACTGCTTTTTGGTTTCAGTGCCGAAAATAGGAGTTGTTTGTTGAAATCAAAAAGCTGTGTCAGTGCATTTTGCCATGTGCCAACGCGTTCTCAGGGTCAGTGGCCCTTTGGCGTCAAACTATTGCTCAATGTGCCCTGAGGGCTGCTGCCTCTGGTGGCTGTAGCAATTGTGATGGAAGTAAAGTAGGAAGTCAGTTGACGAGTATGAAGAGCGACAAAGTATCAGGAGCGACAAAGTCCATGTTGGCGGAAGGTCGGGGTGGATGGATGGGTCAAACAAACACAGGACTTTCACAAACAAACACAGGACTTTCACCCAGCAGACCGCTGTTCATGTCCCGTGTGAAACCGGAAGTCCACAGTGAGATATTTGAGTTATTACAACTTAATTAACCTGAAGCATGATTTTAAACCCAAACCAAGTGAACCACATGTTGCAATCTATGGGACTACCCTGCTCATTGAATAATGGTGCAGGGTAAAAGTATTGAGGTACCCAGTGCGTTATAAAGTGACGCCAAGGGGCCACTGACCAAGCATCCGTATGTGACGAGTTGGGAGGGAGAACGTGTTGTATGTGCTGTTACGTGCTTCTCCTTTCTCTCCGGCACGTTCTAAAAATACATTTTTTAAAGAGATAAACCTATACCGATGGTCTGTTAGTTTATTGTTTTAAACCACGGAACATGGATCTTTTTTTTCTTCTTATTTTATTTTAATTCGCCCTCTAACCCTATACTTTGGTTTCGATATAGTATAGTGCTCGGATAGCTATTCGGGGCAACAAGAATAATTTGTATCTTCCTACTCTGTGATCCACTGGTTTAAATCTTTTCACACTGTCGTCAGGTCTCTCCTACTTCCCTATTGCCTGTGACCCTGTGTGTGAGAGTGTGTGTGCGTGATGAAATCAGTACATGTGCCGTAGTGTGTGCAGTTCTTCAGCTTACCTCAGGGGCTGAGTGGTACCCGGTAGAATAGGCCCCTCTCTCTTGGTTCTTTGTCCCGATCAAGATGAAAAAATGGAGCCGTAGAAAATAATTAAGCTTTAACTTGTTTATTCAAATCGATTCAAAGTATATCTATTTGGATACAAATATAGAGGAAAAAATGGTTCACAAACAGTTTGCAACACCCGCATAGAATGAAGCCTACACCAGTGAGCACTTATGACACTCTTGCTCATGCTCATCACAATGAAAACATGATATCACAGTGACAACCGATTATAAGCGTTGTTGCCAAGCATAGATTATAATATCCAAATATCTGTACTCTTTAGGCTGGGTTGTCTTGACTGATATACCTTTATGAGGTAGGAGCCCTATCCCAAGGAATAAGTGACCTTCTATCAAGCAATTCAAACAATATGAGGTCGATGATAATTCATATGTTTCATACAATTCATTGGTTAAGGTTCATGTTCCTCAGGTGCCTGATGTAACCTGTAGCACACCACAGAAGAAGAACTTTAGGTTGCTTAACCCTTAGATTACTCTTAGATTACTCTTTTTGATTATGAAATATCCACAAAAGAAGAACCCAACAACAGGAACGAAGAGGCCCCAGACTGATCCTGATCAATCGTCTTTGTGTGTGCGTTTTGAAATTACTGGTTGTATTCAAAATTTGACCATTGATGGTGACTATGTGTGTGTGTGTGTGTGTCAGACTGCACTCAGTGGAGGACACGTGTGCAGCAGGCGCACGCATTAGAGAGCCTCAGGTCCTTGTAGCCTCTTTGTTACTTTATTTATTTGTTTTTGGTATTTTTTGCACCTTGTTTTCTATATAGTGTTCTTCTAAAACACCTACTGACCAGGGCAGTCCGTCCAGATGAATTTGCAAAAAGTCGCTCCTTACAGTGCACATGAGCATATGTTTTCAGTGGTGCAGTAGTTTGTTTCTTAAAGCTGCTACAGATCAGTCTCAATGTTAATGAATGCACACAGAAGGATTTACAATTGTTTTTTTGGGGATTTATTTTTTAATAACTCTTCTCAAAAGTGCAAAATGCACATAACAAAATCATCAAAAACATATTTGGATGTTGTTACTTTTATATACAAACTTTCAGGAGATATAGACTGATACAAGGCCTGTCACTTTAAGAAAGTTAGATTGAAAGCAAACTAGCATCTCAACCTTTGGAAAGTAGCCAGTAACAACGTTTCTAGAAAGATTTTTACATCAGTGGGTGTTGAATCCAAAATGCACATTACTTCTCAGACGGTATCAATATTATGTGCTCAACATGGGCCACAGCTCAAATATTTATTTCACCCCACATTTTCACATTTGAAAGCGATAATGTCAATGCAGGTTTTTCTTCTTTTTTTTTTAAACTAGCTTTGTAACTTAGCTGTGTTTGGAAAGACAGAAGCACAAGTAAGCACAGTGCAGCTATCTGTCAGGTGTGTGTGTTTGTGTGTGTGTG